AAAGGAACTTACGACCTTTAGCAATCTTTACAGGGACTCTAGTAAAGCAATGTTTCTCCAGGTAGGGTGACGGTGGGGAAGTGCAGAGATGTATTCTCAGCAGTGTATGTGTTCTCTCCAAGAATTTTTAAGTGATATGCTTTTATTTCAATGATTATGTGATCAAATTAACAGCCATATATTCTAGGGGTCAAGATTGCTAACTCTTGCATCAGAGATCCTGGTTGCAAATCCTTATGTTGCCAAGAGACAAATTGAGTCCTTGCAGCTAGAGCTAGGCTCCTAGATGATTTGAGAAGTTGAATGCAGCAAAAAAAGTTTTCCTCTTGACCTTCTTCTCCTTCCTCCCCATCTAGGCAACTCAGAAACTGGTTCTGATTTGTATTTACAGTTAGGTCCTGGCCTTTGATGCAAGACTTTCTGGTGGAGGTGACTCAAGCTGAGCAGGGATCCACCAGGCTGGTGTGTTACCCAACCATTACATTCACTTGTACAGTGCCTTCTGGTAGAAGACGTCTTCTCCCTATGTATTTGGTCTGACAAAAACCATGTGAGGTAAGCAGCGATACAGTTGACCCTTGAACAATGTGGGGCTTGGTGGTGCTGACACCCCGTGCAGTCAAAAATCCCCACTTTTGAAACCCCAAAACTGACTTGCCCACTGTTGACTGGAAGCCTTACCCATAACATAAATACTCAATTAACACATACTTTGTATGTTACATGTATTATATGCTGTATTTTTACAATAAAGTAACATGGAGATGAAAAAATTTCACTAATCACAAGGAAGAGAAAATGTATTTACTATTCAGTAAGTGGAAATGGATCGCTGTGAAGGCCTTCATCTTCATCATCTTTACCTTGCATAGGCTGAGGAGGAAGAGGAAGAGAAATCTTCCTCCTCTTGCTGTCTGAGAGGTAATAGAGGTGGAAGAAATTCTGTTTTAAGTTTCCCACACAGTTCAAACCTGTGTTGTTCAAGAGTCAAATAAATATATATTTATATTTATATACAGTCTACATTAATCATAATTTCTATATTTGCAAATCTGCCTACTCATTAAGATTTTTTTTTTTTTTTTTTTTTGGAGATGGAGTTTCACTCTTGTTACCCAGGCTGGAGTGCAATGGCGCCATCTCGGCTCACCGCAACCTCTGTCTCCTGGGCTCAGGCAATTCTCCTGCCTCAGCCTCCTGAGTAACTGGGATTACAGGCACGCACCACCATGCCCAGCTAATTTTTTGTATTTTTAGTAGAGACGGGGTTTCACCATGTTGACTAGGATGGTCTCGATCTCTTGAACTCGTGATCCACCCGCCTCAGCCTCCCAAAGTGCTGGGATTACAGGCTTGAGCCACCGCGCCCCGGCCAAAGATTCATTTTTAACCCCAAAATCAATACTTGTAGCACTCTTGCTGTGAGCAGAATGACAAAAAATTGCAGCTACCCAAGGCACACATTCCCTGCTGAGGTCAAACAAGGCGACACTCTGTCTCCTTGCTTCAGCTCCCACACTATAAACAAGTGTCCTTTTGTGGTCTACTTGCTACCACATTTTTCACATTTTTGTGCTTTTTTGTTTCAAATGGTCCCCCAGCACCCAGCATAGCACTGAAGTAAGCACAAGGAGGCTGTGATGCTCCTTACAGAGAAAATAGATGTGGTAGAAACACTTCGTTCAGGCATGAGTTACAGTGCTGTTGGCCATGAGTTCAGTGTCGATGAGTCAGCAGTAATATTAAGTAAGCTGTCTTTAAACAGGTGAGTTCAATGTCAGTGAATCAGCAATAATATTAAATGTCTTTTAACAACAGCACACACATGATTATGTTTTATGATTGACAGAATTGTAACCAGAGGCTTGCTAGAACCTAACCCTGTTATTTCCCCTTGAAGCAGTGGTTCAGTATCTGCCAGTGCAGTGTTCCCAGAGGCTTCTCAGAACACAATGACTGCAAATAATAACAATACAGGGCAGACTGGATATACATCAAATATATGACATTTTAATATCGAGGCTCAAGAGAGGAAGGAGAATCTGCCCAAATGTCCCGGATCTCACATCTGATGCAGAAGCAGAGTTGGTCCCTGAACTCAGGTCTCTCTGAGTCCCTGCTCCCTCCGCTGCCACCACTGCCACCCCCCACCCTGCCCTCACCACTCAATTGACTTGTACAGACAATGGCCATTTGTGGAGTTGGGTAAGGAGGGCTCACTCCAGATGTCTTTTGCCTCTCCTTTGCTAATGTTGTTCTTTGTTTCTCCTCCCACTCTTTTTGTTCGTTTTTGGATTATCCATAACCACTTTGCCATTGCAGGTGAGCTTGCAGGTACCTCTCGCTGCAAAGCACAAACCTTTCCAAACAGGGGTCTAGGGAAAGAACAGGGCAATCAGATTGGAAACAAATGCAGTCAGCCTTTTTTTTTTTTTTTTTTTTTTTTTTTTTTTTTTTTTTTTTTTTTTTTTTTTTGAGACAGAGTCTCACTCTGTCATATAGGCTGGAATGCAGTGGTGTGATCTCAACTCAACTGCAACCTCCACCTCCTGGGTTCAAGCAATTCTCTTGTCACAGCCTCCCAAGTAGCTGAGACTACAGGTGCCCACCACTATGCGTGGCTAATTTTTGTATTTTTAGTAGAGATGGTATTTCACCATGATGGCCAGGCTGGTCTCGAACTCCTGACATCAAGTGATCCGCCGGCCTCGGCCTCCCAAAGTGCTGGGATTACAGGTGTGTGCCACCGCCCAGCCTGCAGTTGGCTTTTAAATTCAAGTTCACACATGAGCCAGTGAAAATTCCCTTACTTATTCTTACTGAAATTTAAACTCTAGAACAGGGCAGGTGGGAAGAGAGGAGCTAAAGGAACATCTGCACCTTTCCAGACCCTACCTTGGCAGCCTTTAGCAATCCTGGAGAGTCTTATCCCTTCCCACAGAGGAGCAGGGACTCTAAGCATTTTCAAACAATCAGTTACATTTTGTGGGAACTTAGATCCAATATACCCCTGTTCATGGGTCCCACAATGCTTAGAATGATGCACTGCCCTGAAGAGTTTGACAGGTGTGGCAGAGGAGAGGCAGGAGAGAGTAGGAGAAGAGAGGATTAACAAGTGTCTGTGACGTGGCATTTACATGTAGAATTTCCTTTCAAAGGTTTCAAAGGAATCTCCAGGATAGCCGGAGTCCAGCTCAAAGGTAGCCAGCCAGAAAAAGTGCCCAAACTCTGCAGTAAGATCATACCTTTGAAGATCCCTCCTTGGTGTAGGCTCCATGGCTTTCACAATGATGCTGAGCTCTGGGCAGCACCAGAACCTCAGGCTCTGACACTCCCAAAGCTGCAGGTCTCCATGACTGCTCAAGCCAAAAGGTGGGTTCTGGACAGTCCCTTTCCTCCTGGTCCACTTCTAAACTAGACTCTTCCATGGGCATATCTCATTCGTAAAGCCCAGGGCACATGATGGGGTGACTGAGAACGATAGAAATTTATTGTTTTACATTTCTGGAGACAGGAAGTCCAAAATCAAGGTGTTGGCAGTGCCACCCTCCTTCTGGAGGCTGTAGGGGAGAATCTGCTCTTCACCTCTTCCAGCTACTGGGGGCTGCAGGCATTCTTCAATCTGTGGTCACATCACTCCAATCTCCGTCTCTCTGGTCATATTGCCTCTTTCTCCTCTCTCTCTGTATTAAATCTCCTTCTGCCTTTTATTTATAAGAACACTGGCACTGGATCATAATTCGGGATGATCTTCCTCATATCAAGATCCTTAATATCTGCAAAGATCCTTTTCCCAAATAAGGTAACAGTCACAGTTTCTGGGGATTAGGACATGGTTCCCCTTGTTTTTTCTTTTGTTGTTGTTGTTTTGCTTTTGGAGAGGGGAAGCCATTCAACTCACTATACCTGACAATAAATTTAAATCAGCAGTGAAGCTTTTTATACAAGTACAGATACAGAAGCTTACTCAGACCAGTGGAATTGAAATATTTAGGGCCGTGGCATCCAGGCTGCGTTTTGTTGTTGTTGTCAACTTTCCAAGTATTGTGCTGCTTAGCCTGGCTTGAGGACCAGTGATTGTACAATCCACCTCTTTATACAGGTGAGAACAGAGGCCCAGACAGGAGCCAGGACCTCCTCAAGTCAAGTCACACTGTATAGCCTGGACCTCCAGCAGATGTTCCTTAGTCACTTCCAGCTGTGTGCAGCCCCCTTCTCCCCGGGACTGTTCAGGCTTCTGGAGCACCCAGGTGGCCAGCGTCTTCCCCGGCTTGCTCTTAGCTAAGATGCTAATGAACTTTCTCAAGATTCAGGACAATGCTTGGCTTCAAATTTGATGGGTCCTCAAACAGGGGCCAGATCAACCTGCTGACTTGCCATGTGACCTCAAGGAAGTCACTGAACTTCTCTTGTTGTAATTTGCCCATCTTTAACAGGGAGGATTCAGCTCATTGTGCTCTACGGCGACTTTCATAGCAAAAATGCTGTGATTTGATAATTCTAAGCATCTGAGAATGTTTTCTTTGGCCCTCGGCCATCCCAGGATGTTTGATAAAATCTGATCGTTTGGATAAGTCCCAGGAAAGGAACAGATCAGAGCCCGCATTGGGTGTTGGGAGCCCACCTGATGGGAGTGTGTGCGTGCATGCTGTGGGGAACCGGGAGCATGGTAAAGTGTGGAGACTGAGAACTAGAAAGAATTAAAGATTATTCAACTTGTTCCAAATATGGAAACTGAGCCCCAGAGAAGGAAATGATTCGTTGAAGTTCATACAGCTAGTTAAAGGCAGAACTGGGATTAGAATTAATCCATTCCTGGGTTCTTTCCCCTACAATGAGGATGACAAATACATTTCCTTTTCTGTCCTCTGATCAATTAGCCGTAGCTGCCTTGAGCACTGACTTCTGGTAGTCTCCCAGGTCCTTCAGAATTCAGCAAGAAGAGTGACAATTGATTAGCAATGTCTGATATGGCCACGGGAAAGGAGAGTGGTCACCCAGATTTTGTCAGCCCTGACTTTCCAGGACTCGTGATAGAACATAATTGCCAGTGGGGAACTTGAGGCTCATTCTTCATAGAGAACCAGCAGGTGAAAGAAGAGCAGTAACTTACGTAACTCCTTCTGCAGAAAATTCTTTTAAGTGCCTGGTCCAAAATTCAGAGGTGGTAGTCAATGCATGCTTAGGGAACCAATTCAGTCAAAGTTTGCTACGTAACACTGGGAACAAATAGTATTGCAAACTGTGTAAAGGGACGCAGAACATTGTACAATATGCACCAGAAGTTTTTGTTGTATTTTTTAATGTTGCTCCAACTGTAATATCACTGCTTAGACTAAGACAGTGAAATTAATTGATTTACTTTCAGGAGCATAGTTGCAAAGTTGTTTGTAAAACTATACGAGCATATGGACTAGCTAATCCCTCCATGCCTAAATTTAATTCTAGTCAATAATAATAACAATAGCTATGTCATTGAATCCTCACAACAATCTTATGAGGTAAATGTTGTTGTTATCACAGTTTCACAGATGAGGAAACAGGTGTAGATGGGCTGAGGGACATGTCCAGTTCACACAATTAATAGGTGGCAGAACTGGGATTTGAGTCAAACTTGTGATTTCAACACTTCCCTCTAATTAAAAGCTGGACCCAACCTGAGGCATATTTGAGGACTCATGGAAGTTACTAGAAGTGGGGTGTAGGCCTTTTCAGAACTGGCCTTGAAATGTCAACTCTTCTTAATACAAAAGCAACATCATTATCTTTCTCTTGTTTTCATTTACTATGCTCCAAGTCACCAAACTTCTTTGCCTCTCTGGGAAAACTAAATGACCCACCACTTTAGAAGAAGCTCATGGGATCTGTGCAAAGCTTTTCACCTCCTCCCTGAAACACCAACACGCCCGGTCCGGGTTAAAGGATATCAGCACTGCCACACACTCTTCTTTTTCCCAAATTAATCAAGAAGTAGGAATTTCTGACAAATGCCATCTGCTGATTTTTCAGAGAGACAAGTTTTGGTGGTGTGACCAGCAGGTGCCTCGGCTTTTTCTAGCATGCAGTACCAAAATAGTCACCATGGCAACCCTGGGAGGGCAGCCTTCCAAAGAGATGCATTGTGAGCACAGAAACTCTAGAGCACTTTCAAGCTAGAAGGAAGAAGGCTCAGCGGTGGGTTTCCAACTCTGGCAACTCCCCACAGCCGCGGGCTGGACTTCAGACCCCTGTGTACTGGGCATAGCCAGTACCCCCACCCCACCCTGGGGCTTGTGCCTCCAGGAAGAGAAGGGAAATGGAATTTGTGGGGAGTGGCAACTCCCAGATTTCTTGCAGGAGCTAAAGTAGCATGGAGGCTGACAAAAGAGGTGCAGACCTGGGTTGGGAGGCAGGAGAAGTGGGTTGAAATACCTGCCCTGTCACTTGCTAACCAATGACCTTGGGCAATTGACCTTGCCCTTCTGACTCTCAGCTTCTTATTTTTGAAATGGGAGTGGTGAGCTTGCACTGCCTCTTCACAGGGAAAATTGTGGATATGATAGGAAGCTGTGAAAACTGTTGGGAAAGTGCTCAGTGGACAGTGCAAAGCAGAAGAGAGCAGGGATTTGGGGATCAGGAGGTCTGGGTTCTGGACCAGGCCCTGCTACTTTCTAATCTTACGAGCTTGAGCAAGTCATAGAGCTTGTCGGACCTACTCCCTCACCTTGGAAGAAGGCTCAGAAGCCCTGCCTTGCAGAGCGGATGTGCAGGTTACCTGGGATCCTTCTGTGACCTGGGATTCTACTCTCCCCTTCGGTGCAGACACCAAGACAAGAAAAACCATGCAGAAGATTTCACTAGGGGAAATATCTGTGAGACAACAATGGGGAGGGAGCTGGGAGAGGCTAGGAGAGAGGAAAGGCTGGGAGAGCCATCACACCTTGATGCAAATCTGACCCAAGTGCAGGAGGGAAGCAAGGTTGAGTGGACACTCCTAGACCGCCTACAGTATGGCCATCATAGAGTCCTCAAGCCAAAGTCACCTATCAGAGAAGTTCCCTGTCTCTTGGAGACAGGTCTGCCTTAGTATCCCTGCCACACTCAGTTGCTGATTGCCTGGAAGCAGCCAACAGGAAGAGTGGCCTCTGCATAAATACGGGTACAAGCTGCTGGAGGCCATGATCAACTGAGCTCCCTCTCCAGGAGACATATTCTTATGGCCACCACACCTACTCAATTCTGATGTCTTTAGTTGGACATCCACATCAGGTACTTGGCCTCAGGCCCACACCTCTACTTCAGAAGCCTTGTACCCTACATTCATGGTCCTCTTACCCAGAACATGATAGGAACTCAGGCTCAATGATGTCTTAGAACAGCACCCCTGGGGAAAAAAAAAACATATTTTCTACATCTCAATTAGATTATGTATCAAAGGGGCACAGGCTGTGTTCCCTTCTGCATTTGAATGCACACGTGTAGTTATGTGTGCTTGTCAGTGTGCATGCATATGAACGGTATATTTGTATATATAGATGAGCATTTATAATTATGTGTATGCATGTTGTGAATTTGCACAATGATACCATTAGCCCATTAGCACTACGTAAGCATTTTGCACACAGTATTTTTGATCTTTACAATTATCTTTGAGGTAGATAAGCAGGTAGTTTGTAGGCAAAATCCTTGTTTCACCTTAAATGTTTTCCCCAACTTGCCACTCAGCTAATACAAGGCAGAGCCGTGGTTTGAACCAGAAATGTTTTTCTTTAGAGTTGTAGCTCTTGTCCTTTCTGCCACCCGTCCCCGTCCCACCTACTCATATGACTATGTGTTGCATGAAAGCACATATGTGTGTATATATAAAAGATTCAGATAGGGGAGGGGACTATACCTGGAGGAGTATAGATTGATTATGGATTGGTGACTGGTGAAAGCTATTTCTGCCAGAAGCCCCCACTCTCCAAAATATAATTCTATTACTGTGTGTCATCTAAAAACATATATTGTATCCTAGTTGCAAGAATTTCAATTTAATGGGGTACAAGACAAGTTTTGGAGATTCTAAGCAATTCGAGGCTCTTATTCTTCTAGTATAATCGAACAGTGATCCACTTTCTTGGCCTTTCCCCAAAATCCGTGCTCCCATGGCAAGTTTTTCAGCCTACCTGGTGGATACTGTTTTGTCCTGTTTGGGAGGTATTAAAGAAAAAATATCTACCCCAGCACCTTAGTTTTCCAAATCATTTGTCTTTGCTTGTTTCCTAGCAGCATGAAATACCAGTCTGGAGAAATAGATTTAGAATCAGTTTCAATTGCCATTTACTGAGCACTTAGGTTCTGTGCCTAAAATTTTCATAAATGATCACATTTGATTTTTATTCTCATCAAAATGATGTCTATTTAGCAATGAAGAACTGAGGGTCTAATAAGTTAGGAGACTTGCTCGATGTACCCTGTTAGGAAGCGGGCAGAACGGGAACTGGAGCTGAGCTCTGCAGAACTCACAGCCTGGCTCTTTCCACAGTGTTCACATTCTCTCCAGGCAGAAGATACGATCTGCCCAAATACCTGCTTTCCAGGCCATCCACCAGTTCTGCGGTATCCTGGGAACCTGCAGGACCAGCCAAGCCCAGCACAGGGCCGCTTGGGGCCAGGCCAGGTAGACTTACCTGGAAGAGCAGCAGCCTGGCTATCAGCGTATCCACTTTCTTCCCATTTCCTTTTGCAGCCTCCTTCCTCGGTTCACAATGACAGTCTGACTTCTGACAGTCCTGACTGCCATTCAAGCCTTTTTGCTATTTAAGAATTTTGAGGAAGAAAACCGTCATCTCAAAATCCTGGTAATCAGAAGTGTCTGGAGATTTCGAGCTGTTAACACAGAGAGGTGGCAAAAGTATTTTCTAGGACAGCCTTATGGGCCCGAATGGCAGCGGGAGTTGACATAACTGATGCCTGGGCAGGTTTCCAAAGCACAGCCGAGGTGGAGAGTAGGTGAGGGCTGCCACAAAGGCCCCAGCATCTGAAGAGCACTGCACAGTTTGTCAGAGGCTTTCAGCTCCACGCTCTCATTTAGTCCTCACAGCAACCCCATGCAGTGACGGGTGTCACTCCTCTTCACAGCTGAAGAGACCGTGGGGAGAGGAAATGTGAATTGCCCACTGGCAGGCAGGTGAGAAGAGACAGAGCTGAGACCCTCACCTGGTTCTTCCAACTCCAGGCCTAGCATCTCAGGACTGTCCCCTAGTGGCTCTTGCACCTCTATCAGGGCCAATGGCAGGGTCAGCAGCAAATAGCAGAGGGGCCTGAAAACAGATGGGAACATCTAGAAAAGGTAAGGAAGTTGTCTCCGTCAGCTCCAGCCACTGTAACAAATACCCTCGGCTGGGGAGCTTAAATCACAGACATTTAGTTCTGCACTGGGAAGTGCATGATGAATGTGCCAGAATGGTCGAATTCTGGGCAGGACCCTGGCTCGACATCTCCTTGCTGTGTCTTTACATGGCAGAGAGCAGAGAGAGGAAGCACCCATTCTCCTGTCTTTTTATAGGCACTAATCCCACCACAAGGGTTCTGTCCTCATCACCTCATTACCTCCCAAACGCCCCACCTCCAAAAACGATTACATTGGGGATTAGGGTTTCAATATAAATTTGGGGGGAATGCAAACATTCACTACATAGCAGAAGTATAGCGCCCTGGTGGCCCAATTCATTTCGTGTAATAAACCTGGCGCTGTGCTAGGCACTGAGGATATGGCCTGAACAAGGCCATCCAGACCCTGCCCTAAGAAGTTAGGGTCCAGTAGGGAGGCCGGTGGAGAAATAGGCAACTCCCACACAGAGGAACAAGCATTCTGGTAGAGGGACGTGCGGGCTCTGTTGGAGGGCAGGGGAGGGCACCACACCCAGATGCAGTACTGGGCCTCTTGATTCATTTTCCAAATATACAAAAATGACTTGGGGTTTGCAGAAGGAGTGAAAAATACATAAATAAATAAATAAAAGGTAGTTGCTATGGGAGGGGAGATCCAAGAAGGCTTCCCAGAAGAGGTGGACACCTTTCTGGAGCTGGGGCCCTGAAGGGTGGGTAGGATCCTGATGTGCAGAGACTTGGAGGAGAAGTATTGCAGCCCAAGGAAGCAGCATGGTCCCTGCAGAGGCAAGAAAGGGGAGATTCCTGGGGGTAATCACTCACCTTCAGAACCTGTGTAGGCACTGTATGGGGTAGGGTAACAGGAGATGCAGCTGGAAAAGCAGATGGGGGTCAAGACGGGCCTTCCAACATTTTCATTTTATCTTACAGGCAGTGGGGAGCTGTTAAGAGCATTTTGAAGGGGGCAGTGATACTGTTGGCTCTGCATTTTGGAAAGGTGGTTTTCAGGGCAGTTTGGATGATGCTGGGGAGAGGCTGACAGGTTCAAGGTCATTCCTGAGGAGCAGGTAGGTGAGACATGATAAGGGGATTAGCAGGCTGGCTTGGGGGCAGCACCAGCATACAAGCCCCTGTCATATCTGAGAAG